ATATATATATATATATATCCATAAATCTGGCTCAAAGCCTATGGCTGGGGAGGTCATGGGCCCCAGTGGGGAATACACTACCATTGTTTCATTAATTGATATGTTGTGAAACTTCCTTCTAAATATTTCTGTTTATACCCAAAGACTACTGCTATTATCACTCAGAGTAAAGAAGCTTCTTTTGCAGAGGATGACAGTTAGTGGAGAGTCTCATTTCAGGTCAAAGTGCTGAGAATAAGTGACAATTGAGCACTCAGCCCTAAATGAGTCACCCCATGTTTCCAACACTCAAGAAACATCACAGAAGATGGGGTAGAAAGAATATACGAGTTAGAGGCTAGGAAAGAATGCTGTGAAATGCTGCCACCCAGATACTGCTCAGCCACTGGAATCAGGAACGCACAGCAGCAATGGATACTTGCATAAGACCTTCAACAATCCACCATAGAAGGAGGAGGTGCCCCATGAGGCCCCATCCTTCCTGGGGAATTATTAACTATTAACAGTTGCTGCAGAGGGAGTGTCATTTCTTTACCCCTGCACCCACTAGGGGGTTAGTTGGGAAGAAGAAGGGGTTGAGAAAGAAAGAAAGGAGGATAGCAAAGGGTAATGGGGTTAATATAATCACAACATATTGTATATATGTAGGCAACAGTCAAAAATAAAAATACTTTTGTGAAAAAGAAAGCTGCTTGGAAGAATGCAATCTAGAGTTCATTAATATAAATTTTGACATCAGAGCAAAATTTGGCAACAAACTTTTCCATAAAGTTTTACATTTTAAGGAATTATTTTCAGTAGAAAATAATTGGCACCCAAATCTAGTAACAATAAACTACAGGAGAAAAATCTGTTGATTTCCCAATCATGATTTATTTTCTGGCAGTCTACTTAGAATTTCAGTTACATATGATAAGAAAAGTTTCTGGGTTTGTTGTTTGCTTTGGTTAAAGTTTACTTCAGATTTCTCTGTGGAAAATGGCATTGCTTTCCACAGAAGTCCTGATCTTGGGCCAATGCAATCATGTAGCATCATTCTGTAATATCCTCTACCATTAAATAGCGAAGAAAAGAAAAATCAGCATGCTAGTGACAGGTTTGTGGAGTTTACACTAGGAAGCTAATGTTTATCATATTCTGTTGGGATCCTACATTGAACATATTATTTTTTTCCAATTTTGATATTGGAAAAATCTAAAGGCAAGTGCATGTTCATCAGAAAAGATCAGTGAATCCAGTAAAAGATAAAACACAGTTGGGTATATTTAGTTCTGGGTTTTCCTAAGGTGATAGGCCTGAGTGGGTGACTTATGGGGGTGTCCTGGTTTCATTTTTGTAGCTATGTAATAAATTATGCAATCTGAGCTGTGCAATGTGCTTCCATCGGACCATGGCCTTAAAGTACAACTTTCCTAAACTAGTTTTCTCAGAAATTTTAGCCAAACACTTTAATTTTTTAAATGAGGTACAATGTGAAGTAGAAGAAACAAAGCTGAGTATTCTAGTATTTGAGGGGTAAATTATATCCTACTGCTTAGAAACAAAAACAGTTGTTTAATTGGCTATTTCTTATTCATGTGATGTATATACATATGACACTAAAAAGTTTCATCCTCATGAACTGATAATGAAAATTCATTGCCTATTGGGAAAATAAGTGTAGGGTTCCCAAATATTTTTGTCATGCATTCTGCAACATGCAAGCTACAAAGTCAAGTTGACTTCTCTACCCTATAGTACAGGAAGAAAATGTAAATCCTTGCCAAGCTCCTGAAAGCTTAATTTAGAAGTAGAGTTTTAATCATCATCAGAATCTGAATCGTATTTCTTTCCTCGGATTGTTTTCTTTTCCAGCTTTGTGAAGTTTGTCCCAAATTTCTTTTGGCTCTGAAATGGTGGCTCCATTAAATTTCCACTGTAGTTAATAATATCAGAACAACCAAGCCTCCACTCTACAGTCTCTGTAGTGAAGTCGTCTGTATTTAGAGTCGGCTGTAATTCTTTGTGAACGATCTGTTTACTGTCTGTTTACTTCAGATTTAAGTGTGTTTTCTAAATTCTGTTGATTTTGGTACACTGACATCTAATAGTCATATCCTGGCATTTTATACCATTTCAAAAAAAAAAAAGAAGTAGAGTTTTAGTCATCTTGAAGTATACCTTCACTAACCCAGCCTTCAAGGCCTTTCCATAGTGAATTCATGTGTATGCTACCTCCATCAAGACATCAACAGAACAGCAGTGACAACAGTCACCAAGAGGTGAAGACTCCACTGAGAAGGCTTCATGACCTTTTGGGCCATTGTTTGTACAATCAGATTTAGGGACTTCAAAATTCTCCATAGGCCATCTTTCAAGTACAATCTATCATTCCAAATAAAACTTCACACAATAAGTTCAACAGTCATAAAGAAATTTCACTTAAGGAACACAAAGCTGAGAGGTGTTTCTATTAAGATAATAAATACATATTAGAAATTAACTCATCAATTCCACAGCCTATCTAAAAATCACAAATCCAGTTGGAACAAAGTGAAAACGATTGTCAAAGTCTGTGTCTGATATTAGCCTAGGTGCTGAAGAAAGAACCTACTGTGATAGGATCTCAACACTGAAGGCAGGAAATTGCATAGTACTAAAAAATGTAGAACATGTAGTCTACTTACCCCTGCAAGGCTTTCTCTCCAAACCAGTCTCCCTTTCCCAAAGTCCTAAGAAAGACAGGATCTTCACTAGGTGAGTCTTCTCGAGTGACATTTACCTACAAAGAGAAATGAGCACCTAAATCAACTGCATGCCCACAAATACAATGCTATCACAAGAATTTATGCTATTCAATCTACTTTCAAGAAATAATGCATTTAGGAAATGAGAATTTCACTCAGTCCTCATATCTGCTCCCATTTTTACTACCTTCTATGATGCAACCACTTTGATGAATTATTGGGGTATCCTGTCAATCTTTCTTTATGTGCTTATATACTTATTGTTTATTCGAGACGGGGTCTCACTATGTAACCCTGACCGGCCTGGACCTCACTATGTAAACCAGGCTGGACTCAAATGCTCAGAGATCCGCCTGCCTCTGCCTCCTAATTTCTTGGATTAAAGGGGTGAGATACATGTCCCGCTCATGTTTTCAAAGAATATATGAACAAGCCAGGTGTGGTATTGCATGCCTATAATCCTAGGAGTTGGAAGGCAGAGACAGAAGGGTTGAAAGTTCACAGCCAGCTTGAGCTGCTACATAAGAAGACCTGATCTCGGTAAATCCTACAAATATGCTTTTGTGCGCATGTGTGTGAATAAAGTATCATGTATTATTCTACAACAATATTTATTGTAATATTTCTTTCTTCATTTTTAAAATTTTTGTTATATATTTTTATTTTATGTGCATGAGCGTTTTGCCTGGATGTATGTAATTGTACCATGTGTGCACATTACCCATAAAGAACAGAAGAGAGCATCAGATCTCCTGAAACTGGAGTTATGGATGGTTATTAGCTGCCATGTGGGTGTTGGAAACTGAACCCATGTCCTCTGCAAAAGCAGCCTCTCCAGTCCTCCCTGTTTATTTTAATATGTTTAATGTGTTTTATTCTATTAAAGATAAAGTTGTATCATTAATTTTCTGTATCAGTTTCATGTTATATAAGTATATCCATTTCCTTATAAATTGGCATTTATATTGTTTCTGTTATCTGTCAATGCATTTTCTTCTCACACCCCCAAATGCACATCCTAACTTCTCTAGGATCTTGCTGTCTCTTTCCCTAGTAGGAATCTGCCCTTCATTCATAGGCACATCACATTTTCTGGCATTAGCCCTTAGGATGCATGTGCTCTATTCAGTAGCATTTCTTTTTAGAATATAAAAATTGCATACATGTCCTTTTTAACAGCCAAAATTGGTATGTTATTCAAAGGCAGGGGTATTTTTGTCATTCTCTGTTATCCATAACAAGTACTCAATATGTTGGAAATTGTTTGAACAGAAAGCTTCACTAATTTTGAAGTATGCTAGGACTTGTGACCTGAGTCTTAGTATGCAGAAAGTAAGTGATGGTGTTTCCCTCTCAAGTGAAGAAAGACACAATTATGCTAAGTTGTACCTTTGCATTAATTCACTTCTTTCTTGAGCTCTAACAATAATAATACTTCCTGTCATCCAGAAAGGTTAAATAGTTAAAATTCACCCAACTGTAAAATGCAATGAAATAGAAAACTAATTTATGAGACAATACCATGCAGTTAAACACATTTCAAAACAATATGCCTTAGTTTTCTCAACCTAGAGATAGGATGTCAACGGCCAGAATTTTTATAACTATTAAGATTTGTGTAAGGTGAAGGAATTCAATTATTATTCTCCACTGATCCATTTGATTACTCTTCTACACAGTGTTTCAAAGCATGGAAATTTAGTTTTGACTGTCTTAGTTACCACTAAGCTATATCATAAAGATACTAATTTGCATGTTGATGAGGCTTTTACAGATGTGGAAACTTCAGTAGGGAATCTTATTTAAAGCAGAAGTTCTTGGGCCCTTATCCTTGGTGGTTCTGATTCATTCATGTTAATCTAAGCAACTAAAATTCATTTCCTCTGTTTGCACAGTACCTATTATATAAACAGTATACAACTTAGTAATTCTTCGCTAGATGCAAATATGGGCTGCTTTTAGTTTTATTCTTATATTTTGGTATTATGAAACTTAACAATCTTCCTACAAATATTCCTGTATATGTTTTCTGGCATCCATGGATAAGAGTCTCACTCAATAGGGTCAACACTTCCAAATAAAGGACAAGTTTATTAACTATATGCATGTTTAATTATAGGTGCTGACTCTGGGTACAAATATCTATTTTCCACATTAGTTACTGATGGTTCATACTAAAATGTATTGCCATTAGTATTTGATTATTTTCCAGGAAGATGGAAATTCAGTGGCTTCTTCCTGAATATTAATAAAGCAGCAACATAATTATCAAGTTACTTTGACTCACTTATATTTGGTTTTGGTGAAATCTTATTACCCTTTTTGTTTCTTTTTCTTTGGACTGTCTTGCTACAAATGTTGATGGACTTGTTTTTGTGTGAACTACATTTTCACTTCTCTAGAACAAATACCATAAAATATAATTGTTGGGTCATAAAGCAAATGATTTTAAATTTTTAAGAAGCTGCCATTATGGGCAATTTTTCTTCTTAGCAATGTATGAGAGTTCTAGTTTCTCTACATCTTAACTAGCCCTTTGTATGATCTTTTCTTTTTACATTTTAGCCATTCTATTAAGCATGTAGTGTTGTCTAGGGTTTTAATTTGTTATTTAATAATGACTACTGATATTGAAAGTCATAATTTGCACACTTGGCATTTATATATATATATATATAGCTAATCTGTTTACTCAACTTTGATGTCTATTTTATCAATTTTGACATTTTTGTTGTTTTTTTGGGGTGATCTTTATATAGGCTTGCTATACTCCCTTTATCAAAGATACAATTTATAAACATTTTTCCCAGTTAGTAGATTAAATGTTCATTCTCTTAGTGATATTTTTTAATAAAATAAAAGTTTGTAAATTTGATGACGCACAACTTATCATTTTTCTTTTATGGCGTTTTCATGTCTAGAAGCTTTTCACCTAACCCTAACTAAAAATGTTTTCTACTATACATTTTACAGTTTTACATTCACTCTTAATCTATTATTGATTTTAATTTCAAATATAAGACATGAAGTTTAGGTCGAAGTTCATTTTCTTCCTTACTTTCGCCTTGTCAACTGTTCCAAGGTCATTTGTTGAGCACTTCCCTTCCCTGGTTGTTTTCCTTCATTAACTGCTTTATTTTGTCATTTAGTACCTTAATTGTAGGAACCTTTTAGCTGCTGAGAATTATTATTAAGAATGGATGCTGCATTTGCTAAATGCTTTCGCTGTGTTGATTGACATATTAATGTGACTTTCCTCTTCAAACTGTGAAGATGGTGGATTATACTGAGTGATTCAGCTTTTTCCATGATATGTATTTGTTTTGTTTTTTTGAGACAGTTTCTCACATTGTATTTCACAGTGGCCTAGAACTGACTGTGTAGCCTTTGCTGGCTTTAGACTTATGTAAGTCTTCCTGGTTCAGCTCACTATTTAAATTCTAGTTTAAAAAAAAAATGTGTAAACACAACACTCAAGGGGCTGAGGCAAGAGGATTACTTCCAGTCCAGATGGAAATGACCCTGGGCTACACAGTAAATTCCAGACCAGGTTGGGTTACAGTGTGTGAATCTGTCTCAAAACAAGACAGACTAAAAAACTCCCCAAATGTGGCTATTGCTACTGAGAAATTGAATATGCCAAGGAAATTTAATATATGACTACTATTTCTCTCTCAAATTCCAACATGGCACCAAGGTACTGTCAGCCTCTGGTGCCTGTGGTGTAATTGTCAAGCTGCTTCTATTTATGCATTTTATAGAACTCACAAAAGAACACCACCACTGCACCTGTTTCCATCTACAACAGGTTACAAACCACTACTTCCTTCAAGCAATCCTAGCAACTTGCAGCAATAGGATGTCACAGACGCCTGTAGGGCATCCTTCTTAGAACATTAGTTCATGGCAACAAAGGATTAGCAATGTGGGGAAGACGCATAAAGCCAGACTGCCAAGACAAGGTCCTCAAGTCAACATCAAATACTTTATATATATGAGGGTGCTTTATTTTTCCTGATTCTTTAGCCAATGTTAACTAATAAGATAGTAAGCAACAAGGCTGTCAGTCTGTTATGCAATCCACAAAAAATTTAAAAATTCTTATTCCCTAACACTGGAAAATGCAAAATATAGCTTTAACCATAACTGTGCTCAGACGTGTCATTTCATGATGCCCCTTATTTCTCAACTTTTATTGTATTTTAATTATTTATTTTGTACGAAAGTGTGCTTCTAGAAGCACATATATGCCATGGTGCACACGTGGCGGTCAGAGGACAGCTTGCGGAGTTGATTCTCTCTACTATGTAAGTCTTGGCTTTTGAACTCCGGTCATCAGTCTTAACAGCAAACACCTTTATTCACTGAATCATCTAACCAGCCCCTCATTACACCTTCTGAAAATCCAGTCTTTAACTTGCATTTCTATCTCAGATTTCCAGATATCAGTCAAACGAACAGACACAATAAAAGAACAGAATCTTTTTATTTTAGTATCACATGGAATACTGTAAACATTAGCATATATGTAACTTTGATTCAATGTTAGCCCCAAAGAAAGGACTCCTGTATTAAACTTCACCCACCCAGGGCTCAGGGATCATTGAAGAAGAGGGGACCAGAAAGGCTGTAAGAGCCAGAGGAGCAGGTGCACAACCATATGGAAGGAGAGTCTTACAGGTTCCTGCAACCTTGCTCATCGGAACCTACAGCAATGGTGACAGCATGCAAAGACCCATGCAAACACAAGAAGACAAAAACCCAGCATAGAACTGGGGAAATGGGCAGCATGCCCCAACCTTGGGCAAAGAACTACTACCTGGGTAAAGGAGAGTTGATATTTAAGGGAGAGACTCTAGATAGGTTGAATATAGCCCAGTGGATGAACTTTTATTGGGAGATGTCTGGGTACACTAACTTGACTCATTAGGGCTTAACATATATGACAGACTTTATGAAATTTGGTAGGGCAGGCTATGGAGAGATCAGGATGGGGGAATGGATATTAAGATGATTAAGATGTATGAAATGCACAAAAAATTCAATTTAAAAAAGAAACTAAAAAAATAAAGGAATAAAAAACAAACAAAAAGAAATCCTGTATAATAAAATAAAATAAAAATTAGTCTAAAAGGATTATCTAAAATTTAAGCCAGTAACAAGTTCTAGAAATCTTTCTGTGTGAGTTATAAGGCATCAAATTTAGTCATATTGTGAATCTTTTAAGAAATATGTTTAGTCATTTTTAAATAATTATAATTATCAAGATGAAACTGGTATTAATCTTCTTTTCCTGTATTTCCTCATTATCTCTGACAATACTCAATGCATACAGATAGAGATACTTTCTAAGGATAATTAATTACAGAGACTAGTTCAAGTAATGCTTAGTAATATGATATTGGATGATTAAGTTTTTGTTCTCTAATTTACTTCATTTCTTAGTTTTTAAATATAGATTATAACAGGTTCACATTGTTGAAAAGCTAAAACAATATAAAATAAAGTCTAATTTTTCATCCACAACCATAGTCTTCCCCTTCTTCCCTTCCTCCTGTACTTTGCTACTTCTTTTTTGACAGTGCCTCCTAGTTCCAGTCACTACGTGAACCAGGCTGATCACAATCTCCCAGAGATATGCCTGTCTCTGCCTCTGCCTCCCAAGGGCTGGGATTAAAGGCACACACCATCATGCCGGGCAACTTTGCCGCTTTTAATAGTTTCTTAGCATTCACTTAATATTCTTTTTCATTTGTTTTGTTTTGTTTATTTGAAACAGGGTCTCTGTTTATCCCCAGCTGGCCTGGAATTCCCTGTGTAAACCAGGCTCACAGAGATCTGCCTGCCTCTGCCTTCTGAGGGCTGGGATTAAGGTTGTACATTAACCAACATACCAGATAGCACATAATATTCTTTATGAAGCTATAATACAACTTTCGTAGATTTATGTCCTTACTGCCCTTAGAATGCTAAGTGGTTTTCCTAAAAAGAGCAAACTAAGTTAGTTTATTACCAAGTTCAAACTGAGTTTATCCAATTCTAAAACCCAGATGTTCCTTTATAGTGAAATCACTGTTCCTGAAGACTAGATAGATTTTGAATATTTTTATTGTACAGCTGTAACGATGGAGATCTTTCTGTTCATGCAAACTCACCAGGAGCATCTAGTTAGTATGATTATAAGTGTCTGGACACAAACTCACACAATTTCTATCTCCTGTATTGTATTTTAGAAGACCCATTCTCAAATAAAGAAGGGGAAATTCATATAGCACAAGAGTCAGCACACGCATTCCTGCCCTGTGCTGCCAAAGCTTACCTTTCCTTTGCTGATGATAAAGAAGGTGTCTCCTCTTGCACCTTGCCTGATAATGTATTCTCCATTTTCATAGTGGGTCTGAAAAATAGAAACAGTAACATAAAACACAGAGAAATGGGTGAGCTACCAAACACTTCGGTGTCTTCACACATCAGCACCTGGTTATGCATTTGCTTTAATGGATTTTTAACCCAAGATAGAATGGATCGTGGTTTACGAATCAATAATCAATTCAGGAACAGCAAAGCTATCACATCCGTGATGCTCATTTAAAACCTTAGTGAGAGTCATTTTTCTCTGTGATTCTGTTCATATCTTTCAGGTTATTATCTCAATTACTTGATAAACAATTATTTTCTCCCATCGGCTAAGCGTGAAGTACTGCTAATGAAGCTGCTCTTCCTGTATTATATTATTTGCTGTTTTGGGTTGTTTATAGTTGTTTCACACTATTAGCCTTTTTGAGAAATTGCTGTGGCATCCAAAGACCTCCATTTGAATCCAAGGTGGCTTTCAGTGAGGGTTAGATGGCTCTAGATACTTTGTAAGGCACCACTTCATCCCCTAATATGCTCACTTGAGCAATTACATTTGGCCCTGTTTAGCAGAACGTTTAATTTTATGCTCCGAATTCTGGTACTACATCTGTCCAACATAAACTACCAAATGGTGAGTGAGGAAAAGCTGGAAGACAGTTAGCATAGTCAGTGGGGCAGTATCCTGAGGAGGACATCACCACCAGGTCTGTTCCCAGAGTGAAGATTACTTCTGCATTGAACAAAAGTCCTTCTACAAGGAGAGGAGGGGGAAATGTATTGCTGGATCAGGAGGCAAAATGAGCCTGGGCCATCTGGCTCCACGCTTCTCTGACACTTAGCAGAGAAGCCCTATCCTGGGCCAGAAAATATTACCTTACCCACTACTTAGGAAACAGATTTTATGGGAAACACAGTATCTATTAAGCTGGTGTCTGTAATCTGTACAGACACACCAATGCCATTTGTCATGATACTCCATTCTACTCTCTTGAAGTGGCCTTTCATTAGCTAGCATTGTAAATAGCCATTGCTATCTTTATGTACCTGTAACATTAACATATTATCCAGCCTGTTATTATTCTACACACAACATAATTTATTTTCCTAGTAACAAGTTTTTTTTTTTTAAGTAACAGAGTTCTTTCTTATTCCGTCTCCCAATCTCAAATAGCAGATGGCACGTACAGTCTGCTGTGTCCCTTTAAACACTATCTTCCTAAGGATATTTCCTAAGGGTACATAAATATATGCACCCAAACCATTATTTCTGGGACTGGAGAGATGGCTCAGCAGTGAAGAACATAAACTGTTCTTGTAGCAGACCCCCTTGGGTTCCCAGTACCCATATCAGGTTACTCACAACTGCCTGTAACTTCAGCACTAGAGGGATCCGATGCCTCTGGCCTCCAGGGGCACCTGGCCTCATGTGAATACACCTACACCCAGACACATAATTAAAAATAAAATATTTTTAACCTAAAAAGTCATTTCTCAACAAAATTAGTAACATAAAACATGTGTGATTCAACTGATCTGTCCCATTTGACAAGATTATTTGTGTTTTATTTTCATACCTGGCTACATTAAAATGGAAAGACCTTAGCAATGTGTGTATTTGGAGAACTAAATCATAACAATATACTTACATATATTCATGCAACAAAAGCATTTTAGTATCTCAGAGTCAGGCCCTCTTACAGGTACTGATCATATAAAACAGAATTTGACAAATCTTACAACAGTACCATCTAGTAGGATTTTCTTTGATTGTAGAAATGTTCTACAGTTACATTATCCAATGAAGCAACCACTCAGTAGTTAAGGATACTCACTCTTTGAAATATTTAAAATATTTAAACTTAATTAAATGATAGTGCCCATACATGAATAGTAACTTTTAGTTAGCACAGTCAGTTGCTAACCCAGACAAAGATTTCAATTTGTAGCAGTTGAGGGGGGGGGATCCTTTGCCAAACTTGATGCTTCCTTCCAGGAGATGGAACTCAGGCAGACCTCTCACTCTTTTGTAGAGGAGACAGCCTGCCTTACCTGATGGACAGACTGAAGGTAAGGAGGGGTGTGCTCATTTCTGAGTTTCATTTCTTCTCTGTGGAGAGGGTATCCCACAGAAGCTCAGTGTTCTCTGCAGCGTCTCTGGGGTCAGCTCTCCTCCCATCCGAGTGAAGGATGGCCCTGCCTCTGCTTCTGTGACAAGTTAGGTTATTCAGACCCGCTATATAGGGCAGTTTTGGAAGTCTGTTTAGCTCTCATACCTAACCCACATCTTCTAACCCAGACTTTATTAGTAACAATGGTAAAATATTTTAGAACTGTTTTGACTGTATTTCATTTATATCTCACTTGATTCCTAACTCAAGATTGATCAAACACCACAAAGTAACCCATTGTATAAATGCTATGTTATAAGTACAGGGCTTGTGAGAACCCAGTATTGAAGAAACTTCACTGTTCTCAAGGACTTCTCTGAGGAGGAGGCTTCAGCTTCTACTCAAGGATTAAAACAAGGTCTTTGGATGTTTAAGCAAAAAAAAAAAAAAAAAAGGCCCTCAGGAAGAGGGGAGTGAGGAGCTAGCTTATAACACTTATGTAAGACTCGTGAATGTACGTTTTGGGAAAAAATACAAATAAAATGCACAAAATTTGAAGAATTTGTAGCACATCTGAGACATTCTTCATTTCTCTTTTTAAAAAGCATGCTTGCCAGTGGGATGGATACTTTCCTTATTTAAGCAGCCTGTATCTCACATTACTTTAATCCTTTTTTTCATAATTAAAATGCATATTCTTATCTGTATGATAGCTATTTCTTTTCAGGAAGCAAACATGATTTGTAATACATTAAAAGATATGAAGGGAAGAGTTCCCTAAGCTCAGTACTATTGACATTTCCAGACAGAAAACACTATAGGACATTGTCTCTATACCCTGTTTTGATTTGGAATATTTGGCTGTATCTCTGTCATGCAGCACCTAGAGACCAGCAGCACCTCAACTCTGGCTATGGAGAGGAGTTGCTGGAGGAACATCTGCCCTTGGTTGAGAATAACCGCTATAAATCTTGTGTGTTTTTAAACTTCTCATTTTAGTGAGTTGGGAGTTTGTCAGGGGTATCCAGACACAGTCCAGTTGTTTAATTTATAGAAATCACCTCATCACCTTAGTCTCATTTGACCTGAATTTTTGTAACTTGGCATTGGCAATTGCTATATGAATTACTTTGGTTCACCTACACAGGCATTCACTGAAGATATTTCCATCCTGTATAAGCTCATAAGGCCCAGGGGCCCAGGGAGGAGCCTATGGTGCTGTAGCCAAAGGCATGTTGGACTTGGGAAAGGGAAGTGGCAGTTTCGTGATCCCAAGTCTATAATGATGATGTTGTCCTGAAATGTTCACTTGTATTTGATGGGGAGAAGATCATAAATGTTAACTCAGCTTCTTCCCACTGGTTTTTGGAGATCTTTTTTTTTTTTAGCTCTTACTTTTGTAAGCTTCAATTTAAATATCAGAAATGTACAGATATTCAATTTAAATATTAGAAATATACAGAACTTAGAAAGGGAAGAAGCCATAACAAGGGTTTCCATATTTAATAGAATAAAAACCAAATTCTCTGACATGACCTATTAAACTATGTATAGTCTGCTCTGTGACATAATTGCTAACCTCTTCTCACTTTTCTGCACTTTCCCTTCCAATCTTGCTGCCTATCCTAGGTCAATTCCTTAAATGGAGCACCATGAAGTTTACAAGCTCCAGGAGCTGTGCTCCAGCAAATAACTCCTTGTGATGATCTTTTTCTTTGACCTGACCTGTGGCAATTGTATGCTATCACCACCCATGTACACAACATCACCACATGCATGCCTTGGGTAAATTAGCTCTCTCTATTACATGTGTGTTCCTATAATCCATTGCTCTTTTTGAGCTTGTAATTAGAAATTTTTATATGGTTATTTCTTACCATACTGTAAGTCACATAAAAGTAAGGATTGTTTCTGGTTTTGTTAATTTTGTATATTCATCACCCATACCTAACCCATTACTTAGAAGAGAATAGGGACTCAAAAATATTAACAGACTGCATAAAATAGTCCTCTTTAATGCCCATCTTTGGCATTGCCCATCTGGTCCAGTCACTACATCCCATCTCATTCATTCTCACTGTAACTAAAGTGCACTTTCTT